CGATGCAGCTAGAAAGTTTGGAGTTGTTGAATACACTTACCCAGGAACAAATCGTGGAAGTCCAGGAAATGGTTGATAAAACCATAAGAGACCGTAGTCTTTATGACCCACAAGCCCTAGAATATTTTTTTAAAATATTAACAGATGTTAGCCAGGATAACAACCCCATTGGCGATGACAAAAAAGAAGATAATATTGTGCACCTGTTCTCTTATATCCAATTGAATCCACCTCTAGTACCTTTTGTAGTCCCTATCCCGAAAGTTCTCCCGAAGTCTCGACAACCAAGACCTACCATAACTGAAGTATTCGATGCCTACTATGACGAATCCGCAGAAGAACCCCTTGAAAGTATTGGCTTCAGCTCTAAGGAAGAAGAATGAGAAACCGAATTGGAAGTTCTTCTTCAAAAGCTCATCGCCAAATGTGAAGCTGTCACACAAAAATGGGCCCCCGAAAAAGAAAAAGGCAAAAAAATGGAAGTTGAGAAAAAGAAAGTTAGTGACGTTAAGGCGACAAAGAAAGAAGCTGAAGAAAAAAATAACAACTTACCCAATGATCGCATAAAGGTTGCTAGAATAGGAGGCGCTGAAGAAACATACCCAGTTGGACCTTACTGTGAAGAAGTTGGAGTTAAGAAGGTTAAAGAAAAGAAAGAAATCGAAGTCGAAAAGGAAGAGGCCGGAGTTGAAAAGGACGAAGAAAAAGAAGTTGAAGTTAAAAGAGAAGAAAAGAAAGAAACTAAAGAAGAAAAAAGAAAAAAGTATGAGGAAAACATATTCGCGAGAGTTGAAAAAATTATAGGTGAAACCGAAGATGAAAACTATAACAACGAAGCTGACGAAGATGAAGAAGATAACGATGACAATGATGAGACGATTGTAGACGAAGAAGACGATGAAAAGAAAGAAGACGTAGAAGAACTTACCAAAAAAAGTAAAGACCTGGATTACACTTGTGAATCGTGGATAAAGAAAGTTGAAGGATTTAGAAGTAGGGTCGGATGGACTAGAGGAGCAAAAGAATCTACCGAAAATGAATCTGCTGAGACCGAAGAAGATACGACGAATATCGGTGAATGTTACCGAAACGAAGATGGAGTTAAAAAGAATGAAAATAAAGCCTTCACCTATCATCAAAGATCTGGCGAGTCAGGTGATGTGATGCAATGTACCTGGTTGGAGATCACTACGAAAATGGAGCTGGAGCCAAAAAAATGAAGTATGGGAATGGCATTAGAAACGTGCGGAAGACGGTGATTCGAAAGAACAATTCGATCCTGAAAAGGATTTGGAAAAAGCTAATGAAAAGTGGAAGAAAAAAGTTAGAGTATTTTTAGACGAACCGGGGATGATTTTTGCTAGAGCAACTTCAGCGCAAAAAAAGGCTACTTCGTGAACTGGTTACGCCTCACTATTAAATTACTGCTTTTAGGGTTTACGATATCTTCATTGTTGTCAGCATGGCTCAAATCTATCGAATGGCCATAGTCATCTATTATGATATTCAAGACTTAAGAGTTGCAGAAGTAAGACAAATTATTGATAACAGCTCGTGGAACTCACCTTTAAACGGTGGCAAAATGTGAGGTATGAAACCCGTGATCGGTACGAGCTGCGCTAAGCTCACGATTTTCACAGTTATGACAATCTAATATCTAAAATAGAGTTGCCGGCGGTATAATGGGGAAATCGGGTATAACGAGAAAACTGGTAAATTCCCTAAAGACAGTTTATTAGCTTTCATGAGTAGAAGGGTTTTTTATAGTTTAAAGGTTTA